TGAGGCATGAACGGTGTTCTTTCTCTATATCTTCACTCCTGTTGCCGGTTTCCCCAACGTATGCTACGATACAGCATGCAGTGACACTAGTGACATTCGTTTTGCAACAGTTGCTAGACAATGTCCTCTGAAGATGGATCCAGTATGATCCAAAAGGTCGAGATTTTGCTTAATAAAATTTATATGCCAAATAAACCCTTTGTGAAAATTCTGACGATGAAGACAAAATATGTATTCAATATAAAGTTACACAGAAATATGTGTACCATCTTCCACTTCATTTTCAACGGAAAACAGAACCACGTACGCTGCTGTGAACAGAACAATTGAAGCAAGGAAGAGATTCTCCAGCTGCTGTTTAGGAATGCGGCAGATCTTGAAGGCGCTGAGCGTCGTAGCTATTCCTAAAACAAAAAGTTCAAATATCAAGAAGAACGAATTGATTCTTGCACCGTATCACGCAACGATCCTTAAAACAAATACGGTCAACAAACAAGAACAAAAAAGGCGACTCTGGAAAAACATGAATAATTTTTTAGGAGTGAGTCATTTTTGGACAAATCGCCTTTTTTTCTGTTGTTAAAATAGGCGAAGCGACGTTTAGTGTGAGCCTAAGTTTTTAAGACTGGAAGCAGCTACTCAAAAATCAAAACAAGAATTTCAATTCCGAAAACCGCTTCAGTGCAAGCGGTATTAACACGTATTAAAGTACAAGTAAGTATTAAACACTGTACCTGCAACTACCCAAAGACCTGCCTGCTTGTGTACAAGTACTACTCTTTAATTCGATACTATATTCCGTCTATTTTTACAGTGTTACTGCGCATCTGATTGTGTTTAAGTTGAAAACTAACACTAACTAACACTGACTAACACTGGTTTAGTCTATATATGACATCGTGCTTAATATCCTTGAAATAAACAATGATGAAAGCCATGGAACACACTGCTGTACATACAGCACAGAACATTACAAGTTATGTTTCTGTTGTCCTGTCATCATAATCTGAATGAAAGTGCTCAAACCGCAGAGTAACCCAGATAACGTGTGCCTATTAGTAACGTCAGACTTTACCTTCAAGTCACAAACACTATATAATTTATACTGTATAATATACAACTAATCTATTGATTCCGCACTGTTGTTCTTGACTTTTCTGCACGTAAGTTCCATCAAATGGACGTTCTGTTTCCTGTACAACATTTTACGTTGCTGAGGACAAGAGATGAGTGACGGAGCCACATTTGATAGAATATCTATATAATTAAAACAAACAT